TTTTGAAAGGTCTCAGTTGTTAGTCTCCTCCTTTCGTTTTATGCGTCACAGCAGACTATGTGTGCTTTGTTTGAGGAGAAGGAATCATGGTTGAGAGTCGGGGAGTGGAATCATTTCTTTTGACAAATGTTCCGATCGAGTGGTGTCACTTCAGAAACGGTTAGGACATCGTCTATTTCTCTTGAATCAGCGATGAGCAGAAGAAGGAATGATGGGATCTTATTTTTCCTGGTCATGTTGTTTGCATCCGACTGGTCTGCAGCTCAGATATTCTATTCTATCACCGAGGAGGCGGACAAAGGAACTGTTGTCGGGAACCTCGCAAAGGATTTAAACGTCAACGTCCGAGATCTGCAAACCAGGAATCTAAATATTGTGTCGGGACACAGTAAGAGATACTTCGAAGCTAATTTTAAAACAGGAGAGCTTTATGTCAGTGAGAGGATAGATCGTGAAGAACTTTGTCTGAACACTGTTAAATGCACTTTAAATATCGAGGCCATAATGAGTGATCCTGTAGTTCATAAACGCATCGAGGTGGTGATTAATGACGTGAACGACAACGCGCCTACTTTTGTGGAGAAATATTTTTCTGTCAATATTTCTGAATCTTCACCAGCGGGCGAGCGCTTCTTGCTGCCTTTGGCAGTCGATGCAGATTCAGGCAGCAATTCTGTAAAGACGTACAAGCTCAGTGTAAATGAGTACTTTTCCCTCGACGTACAGAGCGGCGGAGAACACAGCGCATCTGCTGAATTAGTGCTGCTGAAAGCTTTAGACAGAGAGAAGCAAGCAACTATTAGACTGACACTCACTGCTATAGATGGAGGCAGACCTCCAAAATCTGGAACTGTTCAAATTATTATTAATGTTTTAGATGTGAACGACAACACACCCTATTTTAGCAAAACACTGTATAAAGCTCGTGTTGACGAAAATTCTCCTGTGGGATCTAAAGTTATTCAGCTCAATGCCACTGATTTAGATGACGGAAACAATGGTAAAGTAGTTTACTCTTTTGTCAAACGTGCACATTTTAATCCATCTGATATGTTTTTGATAAATGAAGAAACCGGAGATATCAGCGTTAAAAGTGAATTAGACTATGAAGCACAGTCAAAATTTGAAATCCATATTCAAGTCACAGACAAAGGTGCGTCACCTCGGAGATCCAATGGGAAGCTTTTGATTGAAGTAGTCGATGTAAACGATAACACCCCAGAAATTGTTGTAACATCGCTGATGAACCCAGTTAAAGAAGATGCTGAAATAGGAAGTGTTGTCGCATTGCTTACAGTGACGGATAAAGATGGCGGTAAAAACGGTCAAACTCGATGTAAGCTTGTTGGTTCAACTCCTTTTAAGCTAAATGCTAATTATAAGAGTTATTACTCTTTAGTTGTAGATGGACCCCTTGATCGAGAATCACATGCTTCTTACAATCTGACAATCGTAGCTAATGATGACGGAGTGCCGTCTCTGTCCAGCACCAGCGTTATCAATGTACAAATCTCTGATGTCAATGACAACGCGCCCAGTTTCCTTGATTCAGTGATCAATATTTACGTGAAAGAAAACAGCCCAGTTGGAGCCAGTATTTTTACTATAAGCGCAGTCGATGTTGATGTAAATGAAAACGCCAGAGTAACTTATTCTGTAGAAGCTGATAATAAACATAACTCCGTGTCTTCGTTTATAAACATAAACTCGGATACTGGAGAAATTATTACTCTACAGTCTTTTAATTATGAAGAAATGAAAACATTTCAGTTTAAAGTCAAGGCCATTGACTCGGGTGTGCCTCCACTCAGGAGCAATACAACCGTAAACTTGTGTATTCTGGATGAAAATGATAATAATCCAACTATTTTAGCTCCTTATTCTGAGCACGGCTCTGTTAACAGTGAGACCATCCCTTATTCTGCTGAAGCGGGATACTTTGTAGCAAAGATCAGGGCTGTGGATGCAGATTCTGGATACAATGCGCTGCTTTCTTATCACCTGTCGGAGCCCAAAGGAAACAACCTGTTCAGGATCGGAACCAGCACCGGAGAAATCAGGACTAAGAGGAGAATGAGCGACAATGACCTAAAATCTCATCCACTGGTGGTGTTAGTTTCTGATAATGGAGAACCTTCTCTGTCAGCCACTGTTTCTATTGATGTGATGGTGGTTGAAACCACAGCTGACGACCAGACTCAGTTCAGACATGTGCCTATAAAGGAGGACAACTTCTCTGATTTGAACTTGTATCTACTGATCGCCATCGTGTCAGTGTCTGTGATCTTTCTGCTGAGTCTCATCAGTTTAATAGCTGTCAGATGCCACAGGACAGACAGTGATTTCAGCAGGTACAGCGCCCCCATGATCACCACCCACCCTGACGGGAGCTGGTCTTACTCTAAAGCTACTCAGCAGTATGACGTGTGTTTCAGCTCAGACACACTGAAGAGTGACGTAGTGGTTTTCCCCGCCCCGTTTCCACCTGTAGATGCTGAACTGATCAGTATTAGCGGAACAGATACTTTTACCAGAACTCAAACTTTACCAAACACAGAAAAGGTGAGTAAATATTTGTCAGTAAGTACTTTGTGTAAAACTAACTCGCAGATAAATATTTTAAATAGTATAATATGACTTAAATCTCTATATATATCTACATTTAATGAAACTTGCGTGTATTTTTTTCGTTATTTTGAAAGTAAGGACATATACTTTTAGTGTTCAACGAAGCAGATATATGGAATTTACTTTGTCAAACACGCACCCATTTAAGGCGCTTTCCATGGTGCTGCAAATGCTGTTGGGCTTTTTCTATTATATTTTTCATTTTATTTTAATTATTCGTTCCTTTAAGAATAAAGGGTTGTTCAGATTGATACCACATTTTTTTTTTACTTCATCGTGCTTGAATCACAGTAGACTGACATGAAAAAAAAAATCCGCTTGTGGCAAATAATGTAAGTGATTTTGCATAATGAAAGTGTCATTAATTTATGTGCTGAATATTTTCTGTTGGTTTTTCATAGTATATGGTTATATCGCTTGGGGTCGCTGACGACTGTGTGTTTTGTGAGCTTGCAGTTTTTAGTCTCCTCCTTTCGTTTTATGCGTCATAGCAGACTATGTGTGCTTTGTTTGATGAGCAGAAACCATGGCTCAACACCGAGGAGTGGAATCATTTGCTTTGAACATATTTTGCGAACGAGTGGCGTCAGTATAGAAACAATTAAGATATCGTGCATCTCTCTTAAATCAGCGATGAAAAGAAGAAGGAATGATGGGATCTTATTTTTCCTGGTCATGTTGTT